GGTACCTCAGTTCAGTTTAGCTCAGTTCAGTTCAGTCGCTCAGTCATGTCCAACTCTTTGTGACCCCATGGACTGCAGCACACCAGGCCTCCCTGTCAATCACCGACTCCCGGAGTTTACTCAAACTCATGTCCATCAAGTCGGTGATGCCATCCAACCCTCTCATCCTTGGTCGTCCCCGTCTCCTCCCACCCTCAATCTTTCCCAGCATCAGGGTCTTTTCAAATGAGTCAGTTCTTCACATCAGGTGGCCAAAGTATTGGAGCTTCAGCTTCAGCATCAGTCCTTCCAATAAATGCTCAGGACTGATTTCCTTTAGGATGGACTGGTTGGATCTCCTTGCAGTCCAAAGGACTCTCAAGAGTCTTCTCCAACACCACAGATCAAAAGCAGCAATTCTTCCATGCTCAGCTTTCTTTATAGTCCAACTCTCACATCCATATGTGACTACTGGAAAAACCATAGCCTTGACTAGATAGACCTTGGTTGGCAAAGTAATGGCTCTGCTTTTTAATATGCTATTTAGGTTGGTCATAACTTGTCTTCCCAGGAGCAAGCGTCTCTTAATTTTATTGCTGCAATCACCATCTGCAGTTCTTCGCTTTCTGCCATAAAGGTGGTATCATCTGCATATCTGAGGTTATTGATATTTCTCCTGGCAATCTTGATTCCAGCTTGTGCTTCATCCAGTCCAGCATTTCTCATGATGTACTCTACATATAAGTTAAATAAGCAGGGTGACAGTATACAGCCTTGACGTACTCCTCTCCCAATTTGGAACCAGTCTGTTGTTCCATATCCAGTTCTAACTGTTGCTTCTTGATCTGCATACAGATTTCTCAGGAGGCAGGTCAGGTGGTCTGGTATTCCCATGTCTTTAAGAATTTTCCACAGTTTGTTGTGATCCACACAGTCAAAGGCTAACTTTGTTGGACTTACAAACTGGACTTATGAACATGCTCTTGAAATGGAACTTATTTGTATGTAGGGGAATACTGTATATATAATTGGGTATCTTAATGTTATCCAGAAAGCTGGGAAGGAAAGCTACAACTGTAACTGATGAAGAAACAGCAGTCACTCATATTAGCCAGGATGGGGGCTGTTTGGTCACTTTTGTGGTTAAGACTTAACTGCAGAGTGGTCTAGAACCATCACGGCCAAGGGTAGCATTGTCCGACGTTGGTGGTCTGTGAAATCATTTCTGCTCCACAGGACAATAATACCAGGTCAGCTCTTGGCTATAAGGGGCTGCTTTTCTCTTTCTCAGAAAGGTTCAAGGTAAAGAACAAAGGAAGGTAAACCTGGAGAGGGAGACAAGAGTCAGTTGCCTAAGGGCTTATGCATTAGGACCTGGCCTCCTGCAGGCTGCTAAAGAGACAAGGACTAGGGGATTCCTTGGTGGTTCAGTGGCTAACACTCCACCCTGCTCCCAAGGCAGGGGGCCTGGCTTCAATCGCAGGTTGGGGAACTAGATCCCACATGCCACAACTGAAGATCCCACATGCCACAACACAAATTGAAGATCCATGCACTGTATCTAAGGCCCAATGCAGTCAAATAAATAAATAAAAGCAAGTATTAGAGAGAGAGAAGGACTAGCTGGTTGGGAGACTTCTCGCTCCGGCCTGCGTATAGCAAGAGAAGGGCTCTCTCCTTCCTCCTCCTCTTTCCACTGCTAGGAGCTGGCGTCACTTAGGACTCAGCTGGCAAACTGCAACCATGTTGCTGCCCAAAGTCAATGGCAATCCACCTCAGGAATTTAAATCATGATCACCCAGCTGAGCTTTATATCTTCTTGTCATTCATCCCTGTGACTAGATAGTCATCAATTTCCTTCCTTCATTCATTACTTTATCTAATGCTCAGTTAAATGCCCACTGAGTGTCAAGCAACATGCTTGGGCATTACTGATAGAACAGAAAACAAGACCAACAATTGTGCTGACCAAGCTGTTTTCAACAAAACCTCTTTTCCCCAAATCACATGCTTTCCCTTTTAGGGCCTGTACTGCCCTCTCTACCCCCCATCTCTGTCTGGAAAATCATAGCTATCCTCTGAGGTTCATTTCAGAAGCCTCCTCCTCCACGAGGATGGATCCTCCATGACCTGCAATGGCCATCTCTCCCATAAACCCTCTCCCCAGAATCCTCTCCTGTTGAAAACTGCTACATCATAGGAGAAGGGTCTGATGGTCTTGATATTCATTGGGTGTGAAAGACAAATGTCCTATTCCAAAGAGAAGAGGGAAAAGGTCTAAAGAGGTGATCGAGGGCTGCAGGACTTTGTTCCTTCATGATTACAAAGAGATTGGGAAGTCATAGAAATTCAACTAGAAGTATCTCTCCACCAGGGAGCAGGGCCCAAGTGAACTAGACTGAGGAACTGCCTACCTGTGGACTCCATACGTTGGAAGATTAAGACTCGAGAGTTGACAGTAAGGATTTTGTACATTCTTCTGGGCTAATAACCATTTATCTCAAAGATGACTATTTTTGGCCAACTCCAGGGTTCAGAGTTGATTTAATTACACTCAGGAATCATAGTGGTTGCAGGGTCAAGTTCCTGGTATACAGGAACTTGCCCAGTGCTCTGGGCAAGCCAACCAGACAAGTTCAAGCTCCAGACAAGCTCCTGAAAGTCAAGACATTCACCTGAGGACTAGGGCACCTAACATACTTGTAACAAGCTCCTTTCCTGCTCATTTAGCCCAGGATGGCTCCATTAAGAACTCTAATAGGTACACCTATGATAGAATAAAATCTATGTTTTGAGGCAAGATGAGAAAATTTAAGCATAGCATGCTCCCTGCCCCTATTGGGCCCCACAACGTGCATTGTGCATCTGAATTACATATTAACCAGACCTTCTCAAGGTAGGAATGCCTGCTCAACCGTAAAGATCAACGTTACCTTTCTTCACATGCCAGCAACGTAACTCCTTAGAGGGTAACATTCCTTTACCAATCCTGTAAGGGGTCATGGTGACCAGCTGCTCCTTTTAAACATGCTTATTTGGACCATGTACCTTTGGTGAAATTTATGTAAAATTTCAGGGTACCATTTTGATGTCCTTTGTCTTGAAAATGTATAAAACTGTGTAAACTTACATAATGGCCTCTAACAAGTGAAACCATTCAGAATTTTCTGAAAGACACTCTCCCAGGTTATAGTACTCAGGTTGGCATGGATAAAATTCTCTATTTCTTCTTTAGCACAACTATCAATTCATTTTTTCATCAACACCTACAGTCCATCTACTCAGAGATACTCACTAACAACTATGCTGTTCAAATTTCCAAATCTTTTTCTGGTCAGAAATGAATTAATACTTTTTCATTAAAATGGAATCATATTTTTTTTTCATCCACAACAATATCCCCTTTATTGGTATTAATCACAGTTATGAGGTCTTGTCCATCAGAAAGAAGTCTGCATCATGTAGAACTCTGTTACAAAGACTTTTAAAAACATCTATATGCCAACCACCAAACCAATGAATCTCCACCAATCAAACTTCTGAATGTGTCTTCAACGTTGATCATCAGTGCTCTGGAAGAAGGTACATAGATCCAGCACAGGGCATTCCCAGAACCGTGTATCCACCCTTGGAAGTGATGAGATATGTCAACCTGGGGTGGGCCTTGACCACACAATGCCTTAACACCTGGCTCTTGGGTTGCCTGCCTTGTCAGCAGAACCCACTCAAGGTCCCCTGTGCACCTTGGACCAGCGAGGACGGCAGGCCTCAGCTATGTTTGAAGTAGACAAGATAAGCCACCTCTGCAGGAGAAGTTGTGTGTATATATCAGGGAGTAGACCGGCCTCGAGTCTCATTCAAATCTCATTCTTTAGGGGTCATTTTAGAACAATGACTTGGTTAAAATTTACTTTAAAGGGGAAATGTAAAAAATACCTCTTGTTATTCTACCCTTCTTCCTGTCTCATCCTGAGTTTTCTGACCAAAATCCAGTAAAACTGCTTAGGAGGTCTTGGTCAGGTTACAAGTTACCAAATAGTCAAAGGAGGAGGACCCAGTCTTGTATGCACTTAGACGAGCTTCAGTGACTCCCTCAGAAAGTAAATGAAGGGGTTGAGTTCCAGCAGTTTGCTGGTGTCCCCAAGGCTCTTAGAAAAATGAAGGCTATAAGCTTATCAAAACACACATCTGGGGGACTTGGAGACCCTGGCAGAATGAGTTGCTCTTGGAATCTAGAGAGAGCTGAGCTCTTGGATCAGAGTGCCACTCTGTCCTTGGTTCACATGGCTCACTGTGCGTCCACAGTTGTCCTGATTTCCCTAACTTCGACAGTGCCAATCTTTGCCGTCAGAAAAAGAGAAAAAGAAAAGACCAGCTGATTTTCTTCCCTTCGTCTGCGCCTCCTTCCGTGCAGCATCCCCCGTGGGGGAGAAAGAGGAAGGTACGTTCTGCCCTGGGTTGCTTTGTCCATGATGCTCCTGTTCCAGTCTTGATGGACAGAGGGTCAGTGGTAAAAGAGCAGGAAGGATGGATAAGAGCTGTCATGGCCTTTCTGAGTCACTAGGCAAAGATGCTTAGGAGACTTCTCTCTTGCTTCTAGAGGTGACCTTGAGGAACTTATGTTGAGTCTAGCGAGGGCGACTGAAGGTACAAAAGATTTCCCTGATCTGCGTGTCCTTGGTTATCCCATTGAAGAAAGATTCTACGTGGTGGCCAAGCAAAAATCTGTAGTTCTGGGCCTGCTTGAAATTCCAAATAAAACCACTATCTCCCTCAAAAGAAATCTAAAAAGTGTCATATTTTAATCAGAGTCAATCAAGGTAATGAGATGAAAAAGGAGAAGAAGGAAAACGTTTGGATATGAAGAAAAGAGGATGGTCCTGCTGAAGCCAACGGTGGCCGTCTCCTCGTGCTGCCGTTCCTGGGGTCCGAAGCATCTCGGCACTAGCCCAGACCGACATCCAACGACATCATCACCACGAAGCCCAGGATGGAGGCCCAGGACGCCAGTTTGCCGTTACCACTGATCTGGGTCTCGGGGATGATGTCATCCATAATCACGTAGACCATGGCGCCGGCAGCAAAGGCCAGCGCGTAAGGCAGAATGGGCTCGGCCAGCACCACCGCGAAGGCACCGAAGACTCCGGCCAAAGGCTCCACCATGCCGCTGAGCTGCCCGTACCAGAAGGCTCTCCAGGTGGAGAATCCAGCCCCTCGCAAGGGCAGGCTGACAGCGAGGCCCTCCGGGAAGTTCTGGATCCCAATTCCAAGGGCTAAATTCCTGGCGCTCTCGAAGGTGGCAGATGCCGTCTTCCCTACGGCCCCAAATCCAACTCCAACCGCAAGACCCTCTGGAATGTTGTGGATGGTGATGGCCAGGATGAGCAGCGCGATCCGCCGCCAGCTGCTGCCGCAGGGCTGCGCCGCGCTGCCCGGGGGCGGCCGGGCCCTCCGCGACGTCAGCGGCCACCGCCCTCTTCCTTTGATACGCCTCGCCGTTCTCACTCTTGTCTGAAAGAAGCCCAGCTCTACCTATCCGAATGGAAAGTTCGCTCTCGGGGAAGAGCATCCTGGCACCCTCCGTGTCGGACTTCTTCGTCAGCGCAGGATCCAAGTTCAGTGCCAGGGCCGTCTGCGGGTCTTCCTCTGCACCCCAGTGAGGCATCAGGAGGTCGGCCAGGTAGACGAACGCCGCTCCGAGGGCGAAGCCAACGGCCACGGGGAGAAAGGCCAAGGAACCGAAGCCGCCAGAGGCCGTGGCCATCTCCACCGCCGGGGCCAGGAGGGACCAGTAGGAAGCCGCCAGCATGACCCCTGCAGCAAAGCCAAGGCTCACCTAAGATCCGCCTCTGTCCGCTAGAGAAGACGAACACGAGGGCCGCCCCGGCCGCCGTCAACCCCCAGGTGAAGAAGGTCCCCAGCAGGGCCTGGGACACCGGGCTGTGGCCGTGGAGCATGCTGGATACAGTTCCGTGCCCTCTCAAGCCCCCTCTCCACTTCCATCAGCCCCGCAGCCGCTGCCGGTTCTCAGGCTCCACTCCCGAGTCCGGAATCATATTTTATATAATGCTGTATAACCTACCATAATTTATTTGAACAACGCACCCATTGTTTGAAGTGTTCAACTTCTTCCTAGTAATCTTCTATTTTTAAACAATTTGACTGTTTCAACTAATCCTTGTTTCCAGCACTTAAAGTAGAACTATTTGACTGATAATGGATTATAAAGGAAAGAAAGCTCCTCCCTACCACCCAGTTCTTTAAGGCAGACAAAATATTGATGGCTAAAGCACCAGGGTTTTGAGTGTCTACTATGTGTCAAGCACTGCTCTAAATCCTTAACACGTATTATCTCACTTAATCCTCACCCAAATCCGACTCAATGGATATGAATTTTAGCAAACTCCAGGAGATAGTGGAGGACAGGGAAGCATGGTATGCTGCAGTCCACGGGGTTGCAAAGAGTCAGACATGACTTAGCATCTGAACTACAACAACAAAATCCAGGGAGGGTGGTGAGAGGTGGGTCATTTTCCCCATTTTCCAGATGGGGAAGCTGAGACTGAGAATAGAACCCATCCTTGCCTAAAAGCCACATAGCCTCTGAGTACCAGAGCCAGAACTCAAACCTGGATATTGTGACAAAAAGCTCTTGACACACGGCAGCGGGAAGAATCCACGTCTCTTATGGATGATCAGGAATATCTATCCAGGAACAGCTCTCAGGCAGCCCTGACCCCTCCAATATTTGTTACAAATGCCTGGAAAGGTCTCACTGTACACCCCTCTAAATTTCTTACTACCCTTATCATTCCCATCCCTTCTCCTCTCCAGGACTAACTCAGTAACAAAGATAGCTGACCCAAGACACACAGGCCATCTCTCCATCACTTTAAACCTGCTGCAGATGTTGGTAATCAATCATGCTCTTTTCTTCTGATGGGTCCCAACTGATCCTCAAAATCTTTCTTAATACAGTATTCCAAGCACCCTCTATCAATCCATCAGAATTGACATGAGAGATGAGATAAAGCCTCTTTGCCATCTCTACTCTAGACTATCAGTTTCTCCAGGGTAGGAACTACTCGTTATTCAGCTCTTTAATAAAAAATTAAAAAATAATATCAGCAACAACAACTATTAATGACATTCCGTATGCTTTTAGGGCTTCCCTGTTAGCTCAGATGGTAAAGAATCTGCCTGCAGCGCAGGAGACCCCAGGTTGATTCCTGGGTCAGGAAGATCCGCTGGAGAAGGGATAGGCTACCCACTCCAGTATTCTTGGGCCTTCCTGGTGGCTCAGCTGGTAGAGTCTGCCCGAAATGTGGGAGACCTGGGTTTGATCCCTGGGTTGGGAAAATCCCCTGGAGAAAGGAAAGGCTACCCACTCCAGTATTCTGGCCTGGAGAATTCCATGGACTGTATAGTCCATGGGGTCACAAAGAGTTGGACAGGACAGAGCGGACTTTCACTTTCATGCTTTTAACATGCTTCAGGCACTGTGCTCAGTGGTACTCTCTCCTTTAATCCTTACAGAGGAGATATTTCTAACTCATTTCTCAGATGTGGAGAGTAAGGCAGGGGAGGGCTTCAACAATAAAAAAAAAAAATCTGCTACTAAATGGAAAAGGCAACACTGGAAACTGTGGCGTCTGAGAGGCAGCGCACTGGTAACACCAGGCCACATGCCCCCGACCCCTTCCAATCTGGGTGCCCAGGCTCCATTAGGGGCAAGGCGTACACGAGTACAGAACCAGCGTTTCCTAAACGAATGAATGCACACATAGAAGAATGGACTGACTCAAGGTCGGCTCCAAGGTGGACGGCAAGGTGGGATCATCCTCTAAGCGGGCTGGGCTGTGGGAGACGGTTTCTGACTCAAACCCAGCTCCCAAACCGGGCAGGAAGAACTGCCTCCCTGCTTCTCCGCCTGAGATTTAAATCTTCCAAGATTATAATTATCCCGCTCGCCCCGCCCACGACCTGCTTCTCCACGGAGCCACGGCTCAGGGCCTGGGGGGCTCCAGAGGAGAGGGGGCGGTTGGGGGTTGGCAGAAGAGAGGGGAGCCTCAAGGGTTCTCTTAGGCAGATTGAAGGAGGAAGGAGCAGGAGGAGGCTGCAGCCCTGGGGCAGGGCAGGGCAGGGAAGCCATGGAGGGAAGGTCACCAGGAATCCCCTCGCATCCTCAGCTGATCTGGGAGGTGGGGCGCCGGCAGCGTGGTGCGCATGCGCCCTGAGAGCCGGGAGTCAGGGGGGTGTGGCCCTGAGAAGCTGTCGGGTCTTAGAGCCAGGTGCCCCATCCTGCAAGTGCCGGAGGAGCCAGATCATCTCAGGTCCTCTGAGCCAAGTGTTCGCTAACTGGCTTGTTTCTTGTTGTAAAGGAAACACGTTTGCATCACCCTCCACCCTCTCTCCCAGCCTGGAGCCAGCTGGCTCTTCGGTGCAGGCTTCCTCGGCCCCTCAACATCATTTCCACCACCCAGCGCTTATGTCAGAGTTGCCCAGCACCCTTAGTCATTTTCAATCCCTCCCCCACCAGGCACTTATGAGGAGTCCATAAGGACTGGCACCAGGAGATTATTTGGCCATGCTGTAATATCAATAAATCAATCATTATGCAGCCTTACCTTCATCTGTGGACTTCATGGCCGCCCCACAGAAGGCACCCTGTAAATGCTAGAGCGGAATCTCACGGGCTTTGCAATCAAACAGGCTCAGTTTGAAACCTGGCTCCCATTCTTACCCCCACGTGGCTTGAGTAACTCCCCAGTTCCCAGAGCCTCAGTCTCCCCATCTGTCCACTGGGGACTGGACCAGTCCAGTGGTTAACAGGCGTGTGTTACTCACCATACAGGAACTATTACTGTTACTTTGATGATCATCTTCCCAAGTGTTAAGAGCTGTTTCCTATTCAAGACCAGGAAGGTATGGAAAGGGCCCCCAAAGAACAATATCTAGTGAAACTCCAAGGCACCCCCTTGAGCATCTGAGCACACAGCGTGTTACAAAGAGGTGAACATGCACCTGCTTGAAGGGAGGGGAGCAGATGACTTGGTAATGGCCTGAAGCCCTGTTTCATCTCATGTTTGAGACATCTACCTCTCTGAGCCTCAGTCTCCTTATCTGTACCATGGGTATTAAAAGAACCTAGCACAAGAGCAGTTCAGAGTTGAAATGAGTCAAGCACCCAACACAGGGCCTGTGTGTGTGTGTGTGTGTGTGTGTGAAAGTCACTCAGTTGTGTCCAACTCTTTGAGACCCCATGGACTATACAGTCCATGGAATTCTCCAGGCCAGAATACTGGTGTGGGTAGCCTTTCCCTTCTCCAGGGGATCTTCCCAACCCAGGGATCGAACCCAGGCCTCCCGCATTACAGGCAGATTCTTTACCAGCTGAGTCACAAGGGCCTGGTTCACAGTAAATGACTGACGTCACCTATAGCTGTCATTAAAAGGGAGACTTTATCATCAGGACCACCTGATGGAGCAGATCATCAGTCCGCACTCAGTGTTCACATCTGGTGTAAGTGGGTTAAGAAAAATATAACATCAAGAAAGGAGAGAGGGGTTCTCTGGGGGCACGGGTCTAGCCTGAAGTGAACCTGGAGGGGTCAGCTGCCAAGAATCTGTATCTTTTCTAGCATTTCCATCTGACAACAGCCAGCTGCTCTGCATCTCCTTTTAGGCTAAAACAAAGGGAAATGGGAAGAAACTACAGCAAGAGAGATTCACGGCGGACATAGGGGAGGATTTCCTGACTTCAGGGGAAGGCATGGGATTGCGGGATGAAGGCACTGAAGCACCGTGTCATCCCTGTTTCTGAAGCAAATCCCTCGTAAGCCCTAGCTTCCCTGGACCCCCAGCTTCGGAGGCAGCTGCGTGTCTGGAGCCCACTCACCCAACACCATTCCTCCCAGGTTCCCACGTCCCTCCATGTTCTGTCTCAGGGCTTTCTGCAGAACTACAGAAGCTCACTCTCCTGTGTCCCCACACTCAAGGCGGCCTGGAATCACAGAGGAATTACACCCCAAGGCAACCATCAACCATCATGGATCAATGCTCACGAGCCCATGCTCTGGACAGACAGTTCTGAAGGACATTCTAGTGGCTCCTCTGAGGGTCCCAGAGGCCCCAAGGGCCAGGTGTCCATAATTCATTAACACGCCTTTTATTGGCTTCCTTCCTCCCAGGACACACACCCCCCCTCCTTGCCTCCCAGCTCCCCTCCCAAATAAAACACCTGCACCCATGTCCCTATCTCAGGTTGAGCTTTCAGAGGAGCTTCAATAGGACACAAATCTATAGTGACATCACCACTGTACCTGCTCCAGGACCCCCTTGCTGACCCCTCCTCCAGGCCACTTGGTCCTGGGTCTCCTGTTTTGTGTGACATCTGTGGGGCATGTGCACAGTCCACCCCTTCCCATCCTGCTGTCACAGGGAGTTTGTGAGCTTGCTCTCCACTAAGCTCCAAGATGCCTCCAGGCTGAGACAGTCTCCTGGTCACCAGAGGGTCTAGTGGCTCAGGGCACCCCTTATTTTATCAGGGTTGTGATCATCATTATCAACAACACGTGGGCTCCCGGGTCCTCTGCATTCACATTTTGCTTTTCTGGTGGCTCAGAATCTGCCTGCAATGCGGGAGACCCAGGTTCAATCCCTGGGTCAGGAAGATCCCCTGGAGAAGGGAATGGCAACCCACTCCATTTTTTTGCCTAGAGAATTCCATGGACAGAGGAGTTTAGCAGACTACAGTCCATGGGG